TTTTTTGTAATTTATAACCATTCTTCATTTTTCTCTTTTTAATTCATTATGGTTTTTTATATAGAATGCTGGTGCACTATGTGGACTTGTACTTGGTTGTATAGTACTATTTTCTCTCATCTTAGGAGTTTCTTCTCGAAATTCTTTAACATCTCTTTCTGTATATGGTATTCTATTTGGCACATTGACTTCTTTCTTAAGATCAACTAGTTCTATTTTTACTATCATGTTATTTGTATTTTTATTTCAATTTAATAGATTTTGACTACATATTTTTTTCAAGTAACTGATTAACATTCTCTTCTAATGTTATGTTTATTACATTATAAATTTGAAATGAAACTATTTTTAATATCTCTCCCCTTATAAATGAAGACGTATCATATATTTTTGTGGTAATTATTTTACTAATATGTGTATCTGTTGTGGAGATCTAAGACTTATACTATTTAATATTTGAATAAATGAAATGTATAACTTAAGAAAGTTATTTTCAATTATTAATGGTAAACCTGTGTTTTGTTTATAAAGACTTGGTAAAGGAAATCATTTTTCTTCTATTAATAATTCTAGATCTATTTCTCTGTATTTGATACTTACTGTCTTAATATTTGCAATTCACCATAATTGGTTTGTCTAATTTCTTCCAATATTTTCTTGGTAGTATAGACACTTGTGCTAGACATATTGTTGAATCTGTGTCTATATATGCTAATAGAGTTTTGTTAAATAATTTAACTTTTATGAATAAACTATTTCTACTCATCTTTTGATTCTAATGACTCTAAATCACTATTTGTTTATGATTTTAGATCATATATATCAAAGTCTAATAGTTCACCTTCTTCGTATTTTTTTTCTATTGGTTCATTACCTATAGAATATATCATTTTTAACTTTTTTCTTTTTTCTAGTATTTTTTTAGGACATTCATTCGCGCAATGTTCTATTTCTTGACATTTTCAACATCTACAATTGTTTTCTTCCTTTAAGACAATATTTGGGTCTTCCCCGATGACTATATCGTCACCGAGGAGGGCGTATTTCCGAAAGACAGTCTCGTTAATATGAATGAGCTAACCAATCCACCTATCCCATGGGATTGCTTTCCGAAACTCTTCTTGCTCTAAGCATTTTTCTTCCTCTATATTTATTTCCATGGTTTTGTAAATATCTTATATCTTCTTGGTCTATCTATTAAACTTATTGTATTTATGATATCTTTTGTTTCTCTTACTTAACAGATTTTTTTTTTTTTTTTTTTTT